GCAAGGTAGTGCCACCACCGAACAAAGAACTCAACAAACACACGTAACGCCGCTGACGCCACTATGAGACTGTTGTCTCCAGGTTCGCGTGTGAGCAAGTTCCCTTACGGATGGGCGGTGTGGATACACACCGGATCAACCTCTGGTGGAGAGGCTGATGTACGGAACGTTGAGTCGAGTCTGTGTGAGTGAGGCAGGTGGGGATCAACCTTGTGTTGAAGCAAGGTTCAGTATCCAACCTGCACTGACTCCATCTGTGGTAACACCCCGAAGGTAGATCTCCGACAGGTCATCTGACGTCACAATCTACGACGGTCTGAGGTGGCATTCACAAATATTCCGGAAAGTACTCAGCGTACGCTTACACACGTCCAGACAATGTACGGGTTCATACTTGCATTTCGCGATGCGACGACTATTGACCCGTACCCCCCCCCATCGCCGTTGAACCGAGGTTCTTACAAGCGGCATGTGAGACAGATCATTGTTGTTGTTTTGCGTGCCCTAGCTCCCCCCGGTCGTCGTAAAAGCGTTTCGCTTCAACAACCGTTCTCGATACAATTTGTCTACTAGAGAACCATGCACCATTTGGACATTGCGTGAGACACCTCGTGAGACACCTCGGGACTCCCCACGACACCCCGCGACCCCTCATGACACCCCACCACACCTCATGACGCCACCAAGAGCAGTCAATAAGACTCGAGAGATTATTATTTTTTTTGGTCTCCCATTTTTGGGCTGTGTCGTCTGGCCCTCTGGCCCCTTATCCTCCACTTCTACCAGGTAGACGACCCAACCGGGGTCATCTAGGACGGGGGGGTTGGACCCCCTCCAGTGGTTCCTGCCTGAGGTATTTTTATCGCGAGAAGGGTACAGCAATCCCTTCCCTCGCGACTTATGAAGTCGATCAAGTTTACTAACAACGAGCTTTGCAGCGCGTCGCTTCCAACAGAGACCAGGATTCAAATAGCGAGAAAAACTCACTCTGTCGGGACTCGAACCCATGACTTGGCCCTTCGCAGGTTGCGAGGCTACCTACTAGACCATCGGTTTCATTGTACGGGTGTGGCTTGTGCGTTACGAGTTCATCATGTTCCGCGAACGGGGGCACCAACTTTCAGGACCGTTGTCGTTCCCGGACAGCTTATACATTGGGGGGAATTACGTTAACAAAAAAAATAAAAGAGTAGACCACATAATAGCAAGACTAAGACCCACAACATGGGGTGCGGATACAAGTTATTTATTGGTGTGCATTTTTGAAAGAACAGGGAGGTGTCTTGTGCTCACCGCAAGTGTTGCGCATCGATCGGCACTCACAATCGGAAGCACGTTTTTGCGCCGTCTATTTGTCGTTTGTAAAAGCCTATCGATACGCCTACCAGATATGGCGGAGTAATGAGCCGCTGGGTAGCGACTCAATACCTTGCAGTAGTATTCTCTGCGATACTGATGATGGACGAATCCCGACACACAGCAGCGTGAATCGTTTGTGGTGCAGCGACACATGCACCAGAGGGACAGGGGTGCGACGGGCGCGACGATGGTTGTATGTGCGGCCCCCTTCAATACTTTGCACTTTATACGGTTTGAACTCAAGGACACCGCAGGGAGGTGCGAATCTCCAACGCAGTATCCACAGGAGTTCCACTCAGGCAACGGTCACAGATATGGCGCGGTGTAAACGATCACCTGATAGACTGTGATGCTCGACATAATCTCTATGGTAGATGAGATGGGGGCAGGAGTGAAGAGTGAGAGGTGTGCGAGGGCACACGCCCTTGCATCCCTCTCGGACAAAGTCACGGTCTACGATCCGAGAGAGCCTCGTGGAAGACGGTTTCAGGTACCTCATAACGTTGCACGCTTTCTCGTGGCTCCGGGCGTTGGCGACATCGACATCGCTCCAAGAGACAATGTACGGAGAATGTGGGGAACGTTCTCCAGGATTTGTGGCGAAAGACTTTGTAGGTTGGGTTCGTAGAGTTGTGACCCACATGCACACATCCACGAAGAATAAATTGTGAAGTCTCCCCGCTATGCGGATACGAACACGCAAATCAGGGCATCTGGAAGTGGCACGCATGCGTCATGTACCTGGCGGCTAGCGTATCACACATCACACCGTCGAGGAGCACGACCAGCAGCGTAGGCATAGGATTCTGACAAGACATATGACAAATATTCCGTCAGGCTCACAACTTGCCCGCCACATTCGTCTCAGGCCTTCCGAGTTTCCCGCCATGTGAAAGCGAGCAGTCTGCTGTGTGTGCAATCTCCGATAGCTTGGGCATTTTACCTCACCACAACTCCTGGGCGTCCGGGCATGCGATCCCCCACGAATTTGGGTCAAATATGCGTGTGAACCACGGCCGTCTGTTGCCGAAGCACGACCAAAGTGGTGTGAAGAAGAGCACGAAATTTTTCTTCTTCCTCAGAAGTGAACAGAACGTCAAACGGTGCGCTATTGGTGTCGTTCTGGTCCGAAAGGCGCGAAAAATATGCGTCACGGAAATCAAACTTTGGGCCCCTGCAACACGCGGCGGAACTCGGGCTGATATTCGGGACCTTTTTTCCCTCCTGCGAGATGAAGTGAAAATGGTCACGCTTCGCGCTCCGCGGCTCATTATGAATATTGTTATTATTATTACTTGTTTTTATGAATATTATCCTGTTCCCCGCTACCGATGCATAGCTAGTATACCCCCCCCCCAAACCGAATCTAAACAAACGCCTGTTTGTTGCTGTTTCAAAAATATACTTTTCTCAACGATAGAACCCAACTCAGTCCAGGAAAACTTGGCCGGAGTCGCTGCGTGGCTTAGGGCGATCATCGCCCACCTCCAGATGAACGGCATTACCATGATGATGCTGCTGCAGCAGCAGCAGTCCCAGCCCGTTTCGGCGCTGCGAGGGGGAGGCATGATGGGTAGCAGCCCCGGTCATCGTATCGGCGGCCTCAAGTAAGTGGTGGTTCCTCGGACGCGAGGGCTCAAAAGCACATGGTAGCCCCGCAGGGGCTGTGTCATCGCCATCTACAGATAGCGCCCGCGCTCCAGAACTTAGCAGTTTAGAAACTGAACGTCCAAAAACTAGCAGCCAATAACTTGACAAGAAGCCATTTTGAGTCCAGTTAAGAACCGCTGCACTAAAACCTGTATGGCGGCCATATGGTCGCCCACAAGAACTAAGAATCCCACCCTCGGCCGAAACTATAACAGACTCCCAAGTGCGGGCGCTATCTGTATATTCTGCTTACGCGGAGACCAACCATAGAAATACAGGTAGCTGACGATATGGGGAGATACCGCGTGAACGTACGGATCTCGGAGAGCCGAAAGAATACCATACAGACAGCTGGGTGTCAGTATATATATGAATCAATCCATTGCAAGTCAGTCCTAGTACACCTACTTGTCGTTTGGCAGCCCCCGCCGCCGAAACCACCCCGCCCTCATATTGCCTATCTATCCCGGTACCATCTGCCTGTCGTTTGACCGCCCACGCCCCCCTCATCATCTCCCCCCTACTCCACCGNCCCCCCCCCCCCCCCCGTTTTCTCCCCAAAAGACTGGTCTGTCGTCTCAGGATAGCAGCCGCGAGCGAGGCCCTCATCAACCCCGCACCCCACCAGAACAAGAGTGAGTTGTTGTACGAAAATCTATTATTTTCATTAAAATAATGTTATTATAGTAGTATTTTTGAACAAGAAAAGCAGCCCCATAGACTGAGCATGGGAATTCTTCTATTGTGTCCTCCGGACTTGCCCCCTTAAAGCACACGCGGCTGGCTCCGAAACGACAGGACGCTTTCTAAGACGTTTGACTGTTGTTGTGGCAGTAGCCTGACCGCGAGTGGTTCAATCAGGGGGCATGCAAGACGCTATGTACGGTAACGAGAGAGGAAGTCTTATAATAGGCTTCCAAGCAGGCTGTTGAGTCTGTTGTCGCTGAGAATAGCGGTCGTCGTACACCTCTGCCCCAAAACCGACTTGCATTACATTGTTTTTGTGATATTTTTGTCAACGTGACGCATTATTCCCATCTCTATTGGTTGTGTGCACGGCCAATGTTTTGGGCATTTAGGAAATTATTCGCCATTTTTTTCCTAGTTGGTGTGCGCATGGAGACTCGATTCCCGCCTCAGCGTCGATAATTTCCCGTAATCGGGGTCAGTATGTGTTTGCCGTAGCGATTGACCGCGCTAGCCGGTCGACCAATGAAAAACGACGCCAGCCTCAGTCCGCGCTGAAAACATGGTAGCGCTTCTTCGGTAGGCCAGTTAGAGGGCGTCATGGGAGAGAGGCTAGGCTATGTGTTCGTGTATATTATATCGCGATTGTGCGTATGAATGCATTTGCTCCTTGCATTGCCCGCGGCATATGTGCGTGTGCCTCTGTTTCTACTATAGACTGTGCAGTTGAACATGTGATCACCAACTACCCTAGAATCCCGTGGCCTTTCTCATCTTGATGTACGCGTTGTTTTTTCGTTTTTTCTGGCCTTTCTGCCCTTTCTTTTTTGTCGTCGGCGCAGGGCTCTACGCGCCGGGACTCCTGAACGCCCGTGTCTCCAACGACAACCAGGTGCGATACACCATAACGGTAGAAGGCACGGGTTCGTGGTCACCATTGCGCGTGTGTCCGGGACTTTATGGGGTATTGTTCGTGTTGTTTTTCGTTAAAAATAGAACAGCAAAAGACTCGCCGCAGCCTTGCCTCGGGGTTGCCCATGAGGTGTATTACGAACCCACTACACGTGTACTTCTACTTAAATATTGAAACACACACAAAATGAAAATGGTACTATTTTGTGTACACGCCCATGATGGGCGGAAAAATTGCACACACACGCGCGCACAGCAGTATTAGTGTCCCGGGGACTTCGTTCTCCTATGTTATGACCAACAACTCGCCGCAGCCTATCTCTATCTTGGTTCCTTGATCGGCGACGGGCACTCGTTGCATTGTATTTTCATGAATTTTGGCGACAGATGGGACCATACTCCTAAAAATGCGTAGAGCAACGTCTGTTTCAAGCGTGGAGGATAACAGCGCCAAACTGCGTAGCGTAGGCAGATGCTATACTTGCATTGCTGTCACGTTTTGGTAGAGATGTCGTCGTTATGTTTGTGTTAGGGAGGGTTACACCGTGGCCTATCTATGCCTAAATCGCCCAACGAGAGGTGCACGGAGCTTCAATAGTAAGCCCGTGCTACTGTGTTCGAAACTTTCCCGCCATGTTTGTGAGTAGAGAGTAGGCGGTTATCCCACAGGTCGGAAGCAGCGGTCAGGTCGACATATTTTTCTCCTGGCGAGAGGAGTGCTCGTTTTGGTTGTGCCGTTGTTGTCTGTCTCCCTCTGGCCCCACTCACTCACCCGCTCCGTTTACCTTTCTCTCTCTCTCTCTCTCTCTCTCTCTCTCTCTC